TAGGGTTTAGAGTTAAGGGTTTAGGGTTTAGGGTTTAGGGTTTACTGTTTTTGTTGTTCTAGTAGTTGATCTCTTTCTTGTTGTATTTGTTTGAGGGTTTGTTTTGTTTCTTCTATGAATTTATATGCATGCTGGTGGTCTTGTATTTTTTTTTGTATTTGTTTTTCATATTGTGTTTTTGTTTCTTCTAGCTGTATTGCTTGTGCTCTGTTGTCGCTCTGAAACTCTATAAGAGCTTCTTCGAGCTGAGCTTTTTCTATTTCTAGTTGAGTTTGTTCATCGCTTACATAGTCTGCACTTGTACATAAAAAACAACGAAAATCTCTTATCCATCCTTTCCCTGCATTCTCTTTACTTTCTCCTGCTGCTTCTGCTGCTGCTGCTGCTGCTGCTGGTGCTGCTGGAGGACGCATCAGCAAAGGATACTGCTGCTGCTGCTGCTGCTGCTGCTGCTGGTGGCGCCGAGCTATGCCGAATATAGATTTTTTTTTGTGAGGGACTTTGGGCGGAGGAGGAGGCAGCGGAGAGGCGTATGGGTTGTCTTCTACTGCCAGCACTTCATAGCTGCTGTGACGCGGCAGCCGCTCCTTAGGAAATTTGTATTTGAATTTGCTCGGGATCAGTGCATGCAGGTTGCTCGGGTGTATCTCCACCTGAGAAGAAGATTCGCCTCCTCCAACGCAGCACCCAGCGCCGCTTATCTCTCGAGACGGCAGCAAAACCCCGCCGTGAGCAGCAGCTGGCAATCCTCCTGCTGCTGCTGCTGCTGCTGGTGCTGGTGCTGCTGCTGCTGGTGGCTGTGTTGTAGCAGTATGCAACCTGCTCCAGGGGGGAGAAGGCACGCCAGATGGGAGACCCTCTATCCACTGAGAGCCCTCTGGCAACGCCGCCGCCTCCTCCTTTGCTGCGTTCACAGCAGAAGTGCGGCTCCCGCTGCGCACGCCAAAGGAAGCTGAATGCGGCAGGTTGCTGCGGTCCTTAGCTGCGAAGGAGGAGGCCCCTTCACCCACCAAAGAAGGAGAGAAGCAGGGCCCCTCTGCTGGTACTGACTCCGCCATCTATGAAGACTGGTCACGAAGTGCCTGCTGCAACAAAAAAAGCAGAGCTCGCCAGCACCCGCTGCATCGAAGGGGTGTGCACCCCAATCCCCTCAAAAAGAGGAGATCTGAAGCTGCTTCCAGCACTATTCAAACAAACACAAACAAAAAGTGAACACTCGAGGCAATTTGCAAAGGTTACTCCATAAAAACCTGTCACGCAACAACGGCGCCTGGTTGACCTGGGCAGCCACGCGACACAGCCGGCGCTGAAAGCAACAGAGAAACGAGCAGCAATGAAGGGGTAAATAAGGATCAAACAGATCCAGGAAGGAGAA